AGCATGGCTGAGTTATGAAAATAGTGGTATATAACATGACTGAGTACAAGAATAAAGTCAAATAGTGAGGAAATATTAGTAAAAATCCCCTAAGGGTCCAAATAGTTGGCATAGGGCCGAATTATGGCATTCCGCGCAAAACATAATGATAACAAATAGTTTTCAATCAAATACACGGTAAAACAATCATTCGGGATGGACTAAGTCTCAATCCCCAACAGTGCACGATCCCACGCTCGTCATCTAGCGTGTGCGTCCTCAATATAGCACCACGGTGTGCAATCCGGGGTTTCATACCCTCAGGACAATATTTAAAATCATTACTCACCTCAATCCGACCCAAAGTCTAGCTCGCAAATGCTTCGCCCCTCGAATCGGCCTCCGGATGCTCCGAATCTACCAAAATCAGAACATAACCATCAAAACATGCTAAAGGGACCAAGCTCACTCGAAAACAATCGAAAAACAATGCAATTCCCGAAATTATCAAAACCCGACCCCCGGGCCCACGTCTTGGTATTTACTAAATTTTACATTATTAGATTCCTTATCTCCCCACAAGTTTATACATATCAAGAGTTCCGAAATCATACCACAAATGGTCCTCCAAATCCTCAAGTTTAGGTCTCCAATACCAAGCCCTAGTTTCCTCAAATTTTTACCCTAAATTTCCACTAATTTCATGATTAACCAATAAAAAATGATCATAAAACTCAAGTAATGAAGCTTAGGGAACTTACCCAACTAATTTACCTTGATTTTCCCTTGAATTCTCTGCCCTAGCTCGTTTTCCGTCTTCAAAAATGGAGTTTTTAGCCAAAATCCGCGAAGGGAAAAATATATACTTCTGGTTCCAGGGATTCCGCATCTGCGGCCCTATTATCGCTTCTGCGGTACCGCATATGCTGTCCAAGAACCGCTTCTGCGGTCCTCACTTATCTTCCAGCCTTCCGCATCTGCGATGCACCAGCCGCACCTGCGCCATCGCAGGTGCGGTTCACCAACCGCTTCTGCAGTTTCTTGCCAACCTCACCATTTCCTCTTCTGCCACTCTTGTCCGTATCTGCGGTGGTCGCACCTGTGATCCTTCAACCACAGATACGGTTATGACAGCAATCAAAAGACTTCAGCTCTCAAACTAAATTCCAAACCTTCCGTCAACCATCCGAAATCACCTCGAGGCCCCCGGGACCTCAACCAAAAGCACCAACAAGCCTTATACTACCATTCAAACTTATACCAACCTTCGAAACATCTCAAACAATATCGAAACCACCAAAACACATCGAATTCAAGCCTAAGGTTCTAATATCTTCCGAATTCCGCTTTTGATCAAAAAGTATACCAAACCACGTCCGAATGACCTGAAATTTTACACACACATCCCAAATGCCACAACGGGACTACTGCAACTTTCGGAATTTCGTTCCAACCCCTATATCAAAATCTCACCTATCAACCGGAAACCGCCAAAATCTCAATTTCGCCAATTCAAGCCTAAACCTTCCACGGACTTCCAAAATGCATTCCGATCACGCTCCTAAGTCCCAAATTACCTAACGGAGCTAACCAAATCATAAAAATTCCGATCCGAGATCATATACCAACAAGTCAAAACTTGGTCAAACCTTTCAAATTTCGAGCTTCAAGCTGAGAACTGTTCTTCCAAATTCATTCTGATTACCCTGAAACCAAAACCAACGATTTACATAAGTCATAATGCATAATACGGGGCTAGATATGCCCGAGAACTGGCGAGCAAAGTGAAAAAACTCAAAACGACCAGTCGGGTCATTACACTATTATGATAAATGAGATTTTCAACTCGAAAAAAGTGTATCAATCTTTATTTATTTATTTATTTATTTTTTGCACATCACAAACAGAGTTATTCCGTTTAATAACAAAACGTTACAAACATGTTTGATTGAACGACGTTTATAAACAGACTGACTTCTTTTATTGCTAAAGGTTTGACAAGTAAAATCGTGGAAATCAATATGTGAATTAGTAATTTACCTGTTTTTTATGCAAAAAGAAGAAAAAAGAGAGAAGAATTAATTAACTTCGTCTGTGTCATTAAAGCCATCAAAATGGGTTTGGCCCGTGAGGCCATTCCAACCCAGCCCGCTACTTGAGTAGGGTTGGGCTAGAATTTTTTAAGCCTATTTAAAATCGAGGCTTAAGGCTTGACCGAGGTTGGACCTGGGCCGGTCCTTGGTCCAACAATTAATTAAATTCAAATTAATTACTATTAAATATTTAATATTTTAAAAAAACTATTAACTATAATCCCTATTTCCCAACCCGAGATTGCTCATTTACCCTTCCGTATCAACTAGAATTTAAATTTTTGACATGCATGTAATATGACAAAATTAGTTTTTCTTTTGCTATTAATAACGAACTCGAAAAGTCTAGTAGCCAATAAAATCTTTTTTCAAAAGAAAATATTACTTTAAGTGGCCAATGATCAGTTTGGATTACTTTAATATATTATTAATATTTTTCAGTATAAGAAAAAGATAAGTTTTAAATGCACGAAAAAAAATTTACCACTACAAATTTCAAGAATTTTAAAATTTTATGGACTATAATGATAAATTCAGCAAATGATGTTATATTTAAAAAACTCAGCATATAAACTTATTAAACAATCCCTAAGTCTGAGAAAAATGAAAGAAACGTGTTAAGAAAATATTCATGTAACTTTAAAAAAGAAGAACAAGAGATATACAGAATTTGCATTTCAATTACGAGATTCCTCACCAAATATCAACCTTTTTGTACGCTCTAAGCAAACATAAGTTGTTTACATGATTAATCGACTATGTCACGAAAAAATATTTAAGGATTTAAAGAAAAAAAAAATTCTAAAAAAAATTGAAGGGGCGGCCCGCCCTAGTCCGCGACCCTCTTAGGGCTGGGTTGGGCTGGCCATTTTAAGGCCCATTCATATAGTGGGCCGGGCCGGCCTAACACGCAAATTTAAAAGCCCACGAGGCTTGGGCTGGGTTGGCTGGGTTGGCCAATTCTGACAGCTCTATGTGTCATTATCAAGCAGTACAAGGATTCATGGACTTCAAATCCAATTTGACAAGAGGTACTAGAGAAGGCCCAGTTAATATCATATTGTGGCTAGGGTGATTTGCACAAATAGGATCATTTGGTGTTACTATTTAAATTTTTAATCCTAATAAGAAAAGTATTGAGAAAATAATATTCGGTCACGTTGGTTTGAAGGTTGCTATGATTTGTAAGTTATGGCGATTCACAAAATTTTGAAGATTGCAAATTTTTGTGCGACTGGCTACAAAATTCTGATTGATCACAAGAATTTATTGCACTGTTATTGAAAATTTTGTGATCGTCAGGATTCCTGGCGCTTCAAAATTTTGACTAACATATTTTCAAATATTGACGCGAGGTTATTTTTCCAAAAATTTTCTTAACAAACTCAAAATATAAATATTGATTTTAAATAGATGTTTCTTTTTGTCTGCAATCAATCCCTTCACAAATACATAAATTTCCACATAATTCTTCCCTCGCCTTCTTACTCCATTTCGTGGGCACAATGACGTAAAAATGGCGTGTAGTAGCCACTAATTAAGGGTGTCTTTAATTTTTATCCACTAATTATAATGCTCAGCAAAAATAGCCACTACTAATAGAAAAAAGACAATTTTACCCTTTCTTCCTCTCTTTCGCGTTGCATTTTCATCTGGAATACCCAAGGCGATTTCACGGTCGGCCTCCTCCATGCTTGGTCAATAGCATCAGGTCTATTAGTGACCCCAATTACTAGGACATAACCAGGTCCATCATGAGATCCTTCTGATTTTGCTTCACTATTCCTTTTACCAATACGTACCGTAGTTCCTTTTGCATCATCAAAATTTTCAAGTTCTGAATTTTTGAGCAGATGTCTCAATTACGTACAGTAATTTCTTTCTTCTTACCTTGTTTTTGTTTCTTTTGAGTTCAAAGATTAAAAGTTAAGGACATGAGTCTTTAAGTTTGACATGCAGGTTTAAAAGTTAAGGACATGCATTCCTTAAATTTGACATGCAGGTTCAAAAGATAAGGACAAACAATCCTTAACTTATAGTTTCAAGTTCAAAACTTAAGGACGTGCAGTCCTTAAGTTATTGTTTCAAGTTCAAAACTTAAGGACATGCAGTCCTTAACTTTGACTTACAAGTTCAAAAGTTAAGGACGCTTGGTCTTGAAGTTTGAGTTCCAAGTTCAAAACTTAAGGACATGTAACCTTGAAGTCCTGAACTTAGAGTTCCAAGTTCAAAAGTTAAGGACATGTAGTCCTGAAGTCCTGAACTTAGAATTTCAAGTTCAAAAGTTAAGGACATGTAGTCCTGAAGTCCTGAAGTTAAGGACATGAGCAGAAGGGTATTTTTGTCCGAGCAGTTAAAGTTTATTAAACCAGTGGCTAAAAACTAAAGACATTTAAAACGCTAGCTTTAAAATAAAGACATAAGCTGTTAGTGGCTATCTGTGCACATCGCCCCACAATGACATACCATCCAAATCATTTATAATCCTTATAGTTATATAGCTTGAACCATCTAAAATTTTCATTCTAATATGCTTTAAGAACAAAAATTACTTTTTTCTATTGGAATTTCTATACTGTATAGCCATGCGACTAAAAAATAGATGGTAATACATAATATATGTATAATTAATGTATACTCTTGTATATTGACTAGCGGATGTTAATATTTGAGAGTGGCCATACGTGTAACTTTCCCTTTTCTATTCTCACCAAAATACCCTTTTGATAAACGGAATAGAGAAAAGATTATACTACTCTAATTAAAGGCAAAAAGCATGTAAGTTTTAGGGAGAGAGAGAGATAAAAGATAGAGATACATAGAGAATCCAAGATTACCAATTACTTTTGACTTTGATATTAATTGAGTGTAGGGTCTGCTTCATAATTTTGAATAATTAAAGGACCGATCTATCAGTCACTAATTTACGCTACCAAAAAAAAAGTAAAAGTAACTTTGGGCCACCATGTTTTGGTTTAGACCAAACCCATAATTTTTCATTATATCACTTTCACTTTCCTTTTGTTATTTGCAGGCTAAAAGAAGTTGAACAGATAGTTAAGATTACGAATTGCAGAAATTGAAGAAGAGATAGTTAAGTTTGAGTTATAAAAAAACATGGCAAAGTTGGTAGATTTGTTTGTTATTTGCTTTTTACTCTTTACTTCTATTGCTAGTGCACATTTTATGGACACTTTCCTTGTAGTTGGCAAAGTTTACTGTGACACTTGCCGTTGTGGCTTTGAGACCTCTGCCTCCAAGTATCTCCCCGGTAATATATACCAACCCTAAACCTTTTATTGTTTTTTTTTTTTTTTTTTGAGTAATTATTTCTCTCCTTATGGCTTCTATATATGATTTCATGACATGCGAGTAATGGATTTAGAATTTTGAAATATATATGATTTTCGCACACCCAGAATCTTGGTTCTGCCAAACTCGTGGTTGGCGATGTCGGTTACAAATTCACGTGAACTTAGTAGTTTTTGTTGAGATCCTATAAACATATATGTTAAGAAATTTCCTAAATATCTATTGTGAACCTAGTCATTTAATGTATATATTAACTTGATGTTGTTGTAGCAACTCATAAAGTTCAAATTCTGGATCCGCCTCTGGTGGCTGGATCCGTCACTTCCCCATGCAAGATTTGTTTGAGTGTCTCTCTTTCGTGTGATTCTGCCATATTGTCCAACTCCCTCATGTTTTTCATTGCATTTCTGCATATCTAATATTAATGTCTACTTCTAGCTTAATCAAGTCAAGTCTACTATAAGAAAACTGTAATTGAAGTGTTCACCTTATTCTAGTTTAAGAAGTAGTTCAATTTTCTAGGAAGTATACTACTCCCTAATTTGCACCAAATCAAGGAATTTAGTTGTTGTAGAGTTCAACTGCGCGTATAGATATAGTACGTGCTAAGTTTTGGCACAAGGATTTGCAATAACAACGACCCAGTGGAATCCCACAAGTGAGATCTAGGGAGCGTTAGGGGTGGATTCAATTCAATTTTTGTATTGAAAAATTCACAAAATGTATAAGAATATTTAACTTGGAACCCAGTCCGTTCATCCAGTTAGTATTGTATATCAATTCGAAATTTTTATAGGAACCTATCAGGATCCGCCTCTAGGGAAAGTAATGTGTACATTAGGGCCGACTGAAAGGCCAGGCAAATAAGGCATACGCCTTAGGCCCCCTATTTCGAGGGCCCCCAATTTTTACCGAGAATATAGGTTATTTTTTCCTAAAAATTTAAAATAACTTTTCTTTTATATAAAATAAAGAAAAGTATATTTTTGCCATTGTGAATTTGATACTGACTGTTGAGAGATGGAAACGATCTATCGGGTAATCTTCATTTTGCATTGTTACATTATGTCCACTAAAACCTATAGTAGTATTTTAAAAGCTTGAGATTGCTAAATGATGAGAATTTGAAGAAGAAAAAATTGTGTTAACCTTTGATATCATTGAAGCATAATAGCCACTCTAATATTGAAGGCTTAGATTTATATTTCGAAATAAAAGTGTTAAAAGAAATAGTACAAGCAGAAGATAATACTCGAATCGATATACTTAATTATATAAAAAGACGTGATTCTTTTTTCAATTAGCGAAAATAAAAATTCAAAATAAAAATAGATAAAATTTGACCTAAGATCAACAACGTTTCAAGTGAGATTTAATCGGTTAGCATATTATCAGTTGAAAAATAATTATAAAGAAATAGATTATAAAAATATTATTAATAACTTTGCATCTTAAAAAGCTAGAAAAATATATTTCAAAAACAAATATATGAACTTTTGAAAAAAAAATTGGGGCTCTAATTATAGCTTCGCTTTAGACCCCCAATTATGTTGAGTCACCCCTGTTGTACGTAGACATTACCCTTATCCTGAGGAGGTAGAGAGGCTGTTTCTGAAAGACCCTCGAGAGAAAGAATAGGAGACAAGGATTTGCCCGTTTCTTTAATTGCACATTATCTTGTAGTTATGTATATATATTAGAAGTAGGTAACTATATGTTAGCTTTGATATACATTTACGAAATAATTAGTTACTCCATATCTTCTTAAGTCTACTGCACTTGTTTTAATTTTTTATAAACAGAAGTAACTGTAGGGATTGATCAGTACCTGTTTTGGTAATATGTAAAAATTGTGTGATCATCTCATTTAAAAATTATTCGAGAATCTTTTAAAAAACTCGAACTCACTAATATATGTGTGTTTACACTATGAATGCAGGGTCTAGGGTTAGAATTGAGTGCAAGAAGAGGGACACCAACGACATATCATACACCATTGAAGGTGTGACCAACTCAAAAGGAGAATACAAGATCCTTGTATACAGTGACCGCGGCGATGAAGTCTGCGACGTGGTTCTCATCAGGAGCTCTGATCCAATGTGTGCGGTTCCAGCTGCTGGCCGTGATCGTGCTCGTGTTGTTCTCACTCGTAACAATGGCATGGTTTCTAACACTCGTTTCGCTAACTCCATTGGTTTCCTTTCCGATGAGCCTCTTGCTAGCTGCAACCAGATCCTACAGCAGTATCAGTTGACAGAGGACCAATTTTAAATAATTTGGATAATATTATTATGAAATGAATCTTTGTTTATTTAGATTTGATGTCTAAATTTATATGTATTCACGTTTTGTGTTTTTGGATATTAAGTATAATGTGTCCTTTTAGCGTGAAGAATTAATTTTAATTAATGCCTTGCTTTGTTAAAGTCTTGATATGCTCATTGTTTTTTTCTTTTTTATAATAATGTAGTGTTCGTTTCAGCTTGTATGTATCTCGATTATTTCTTGGATACTTGTTACTTGATTCATTTTAAATATGCCATTATCAGGAATAGACTGACTCATATTTGCACCACAAAACTAACAGAATTCAAATTGTGATGCTAAGTTATTAAGTTTACAAGTAGTGAAGTCAGACAGCACTTGACTTTCTAGTTTGTTTTTATTTTTATTTTTATTTTTAAGGACTTTTAATGTTTGTAACTTTACTTCTTATTGTTTTGTATAATATATGGTGTCAACTATGGCCTCTGCAGCGGATTTTTTGACATCTGCAGGGGTCAGTCAACTAGTTTATGGAGTCATTATTTTATGTTGATATGGATATGATATTTTTTGGGCAAGTTACACATTTGTTCGGTCGGGAAAAAATAATTACATCAGCTAGCCAAATATACAAAAATAAACATTAATTATATTTAAAATATGATATCAGACGTTAATATACAAGAAAAATATTTTTCAGCTATTATTTTTGAAAACAGCTATACCGTATAGTTTTTCCATTTTGGGGTTT